CCCCCAACTCCAAGACAGCAAGAGACACTGGTAGTGAAGTATAGGAAATATCTGGGACCCAAACAGAAAGATACTGAAATGTAAGGCAGTCGCTGAGTCAGACATCGAAGAGTCAGGGCCTGTCTCTTCCAGATCACAGAGCCTTTAAAAGGCGATTGAGGGCTGAACAGACTTCCCTAAGGAAAAAAAAAAATGCTTACATACATAATACCTCCCATGGAATTTCAGAGGCTCACAAACCGCCCACTGAAACCCATTCACAAAGCCCAGGGTAAGAAGCTCCCTCTCTCTTCTTGGCCTTCCTAGAGCCATAGCTGTCTCCACTGTTATCCTCAGTGGGACCAGAACCTCAAGCCCTGTCACTCTCGGAGCCCTACCAGTGCACGAAAGCAAGTGTGTCGAGAACAGCAAACATGAACTGTTGGGGGCATTTCTAACTATGGTGTCAAAGTACACACACAGCACTTTTTAATAATTGTATGTGCTTGAGTGGTTACTATTGCCTGAAATGGCCCTAAGAGCTTATCGTTAGCTTCGAAAGACTTGATCCCAACAAAAAAGTCACGTGTAAGCTGCCAGCTACCTGTATTTTCAGTTAAGCTTCTCTGCGTATCTTCCTTTCACATTCGTTGCCTTATTGACATGTATCATGGTGTGAACAGCAGAGCTGGTTTTCATCATGAGAACAGACAACATGGTGTTGAGGAGGGTGGGTTACTGGGGGCTCAACAAGCAAACACTTTACAATATTGGCAAATGCCCTACGTGTTATAAACTATCAACGATGTTAAGTACTAAAAGCAAAAGATTAGGCTAAAATGAAAAGGAAACCTTATGTGGCTATGAGACAGAACTGAGGACAATACAAAAAAGCAAATACTACTGGATAGATTTCCTAAATATAAAAAAGCTTAAATCTTGAGATTTTAATGACAGCAAATGTTTTCAAATATATTGGGCTAAAATCCTGGAGCACTAAGATTTATCTAACCGGTTTTTTCTATTTGTAAACATTTTATACAATAGATTCCTAGAAAGTTGAGGTCATCCAACACACACACACACACATACAGACACACACACACACACATACTTACTGATTTACATTTGAAGTGAATTAAACAGTTTTAGCCTCATGGTTTTCACTCCTAGTGAAAATGCCACCTCACTCCGGAATCTATCTAGTAGCTGCCTGAATGTCTCCTCTGACAGGATGTTCTCTACTTCACAAAGCAATCTGCTCCACTGGAAAACAGTCGTTGCATTGATTTAGTTTAATGAAGTCTATATATAAGTAAATTTTTTTCTAAGTGAAATAAAGGGAAAACACTACAGCAATGAATTCACGCTACCCAAAGTTTACAGACACTGGAACCAGCACCAAGTTTGCTTCCTTTTCTGTGAGAAGCAAATTGAATCACTCCTTTTGCAGCCTGAAATCATTTATAATTATCTAGGGAAGCAAGGCTCCTTTCTGCAAGGTTCAGTGTTTGGAGCACTGTAATCCTTTGGAACTTCCCTTCACTGTCTAGAGGCATTTCGGGGCTGGGGTACTATTCTGTCAACAGGAAAATACAGACTTAACTGAAAATAATGAACCAGGGTTCTGATTCTTACTAGCGCTAACTATCCTTGTGACTGGAGGTCACTTAACCACTCTGGGCCTCAGTTTCCTTATTCAGAAAGAGAAATGTTTGACTAGATGAATTCCACAATCCCTTATAAAATAATTCTAAACTCCCCATCAGCAGCACTGAAAAAACCTGTAGCCACAGCATTTTTTTGAACTTCATGAAAACTGTATAAATAAATATTTAAATACCTGAACTTATAATGTGTCATATCAATTCCTAATCATCCCTGAATTCTGGTAATGCAACAGAAATAAGTATAAAATGATGAAGGAATATTTATAGAAAATAAATTAAGAAAAACTGTCTATCAATATTTTTGCCTATAGTACAGGAAAAAAGATGGACTTTGGCTTTATTTTAGCAAAGGAACAACTATAGAGATAGTTTGAAAACTTCTGACCTAGAGGTCTGACTCCTTCTACCACTGGCCCACACTAAGTAACATAAGCCTTCCAGAAGATGTTCTGAGCTAGGTCTGGCTTTGGGAATAAACTTTGATCCCTGATTTTCCAAAGATCTTATTTAGGCTTACAGGAACCACTCTCCATTCCCTACAGTGCCTAAAAACTTCCAGACTCTTTTCTCCCCCAGGGAAGGGACTCAGAAATTGTTTTATCAGGAGGTGAGTAACCCAGATACTTTCATAGAATCGGGAAACTTGATTAACAAAGCCTCCACTTCCCTTCTGACAGATAGATTCAGAAAGGTAAGTGTACTTCCATTACCAAGCTTCAGTTTCTGACCATCTCATATCTCCGGGAATGCCCACTTACCACCAAAAGATTACACGTTAATACCATTAATACCCTATCGAGGCCAGCCAGCCAACTTTAGAAAGCAAATTCTTTATTGTTAAACATTAATATATCCATCGACACATGAACATTTTGGAACAAAATGATCCTGCTCACTTCATGAAGGGACACTGAAAGTGTCCTGTGCATCTTGAATTTGGGGGAAGAAACGGCTCTGCTGCACCAGAAGAATTACAACTCTTAAGAAGTGATGTGCAAAATCATCTGACAGCCCCCTTAGCAAGCGGAATACTACACAGTGAGGCACTCTGGGAAGGCGAAGGACAGCCACTTACATGTCACATCAACTTTCAATGTATTGGTTCACCTATTTTAATTACACCTATGTCCTGCAAGGAGCCTGCACCCAGCAAACAAAGGCAGACACAAAAAAGTAAATATGTCTTTAAACAATTAGCCCAACAGGAATTGGGTAACCCTCTATGGGACTCCAGATGGTGAGGGACATGCTATTTGTTTTCCCAGTCTGCAACACAAAAATCAAGGCAAGTCCTAGGAGGCAGTCACACTGGACACCATAGCACCCACGGTGGCTTTCTAGGCGACTGGAAGGCGATCCTGGTCGTCCTTCTTAAACGTGCCACTCTCACCAATAATTCGGAGTTTGGTTACCCCACTTTTTTCCTGCTCCCACTCCGGCCCCCTCTATCCCTAACGAAGGAGGCACTACAGCTGGGTATGATGAAATATTTTCCCCTCTACTCTCAAGTTTCTTGCGACGATTAATATACATAATAGCACAGGACCCGCGCTGAACCACGCAGGAGAAGCTGAGATTTCACACATCTGTCAGGATTACCGTCAGGCCCCACCTCTGCGATTGCGACATTCACCAATCGGCATCACAATTGTAAATGTACAATCAGTTCCCTCGCAGGGCTCCGAAGCCAGGAGTGTGCGCGAAGGAGCTGACTATAACTTTGTTTTTTGATTGTTTAGTCGTTATTATTGGTATTATGATGCGGACCACATTGGTTTTACAAAATGCGTTAGAATCCTCAAGTCTCTTCTCTGCTTTGCTGACCCTCAGAGATACAAAACTCCAGGGCTACACGGAGCCGGGGGCAAGGGCTCAGGGTGGCCGGACCAAGTCTTCCTCACCTGTCTCAGGCCTAGGGGCGCCACAGTGACACGGGAAGGGGAGCTGCGTTTGGGAAAGAGGAGCCAGGCTCAGTCCCCTCCCCTCAACGATCCGAGAAAGACAGACCCGGGCGCCCAGCCAGAACGGGCGCTATTTGCTCCCTTTTATCAAATTCTTATCGGTGCCCCGAGGTGGGAACTGCCGCTTTCGACCAGAGGATACACGGGTTCTGGCTCCGGTCTCACAGTGGAAGTCAGAACAAGAGCAAATCAACACAGGCACTGAGCTCTTCGGGCCTCCGGCTCGAGCGAGGCCAGTTACCCCCACCCGTCGCGGCTGGGTTCCCGATCCCCGCACCGCCTCACGGCCACTCAGTAACTGCTCTCCCGAGGCTCAGGCTATTCGGCCGGCCGTGCGTTGGTTTCCAGCACCCCAGAACCCCAGTCCTGCCAAGCCACCGCCGAGCTCGGGGCTGAAAGCTTCAGCCCGCTGGAGTAGCACTAGTGGGGATAGAAGTGGGGGCCAGACTGAGAGCCGCGCACGATTGCGAGATGAGACGCGGTACCCACGTCTGAGCCGCCGAGCCGTGAGCTCTCACTCTCGCAGCGAGAGGGCCGGGCGGGAGCGGCGCAGAGGGGGCGGGAGGGGACGCGAGGGCAGTGAGAGTTGGCCGGATTTGCCTTTCACCCAGTGCCTAGAGCCTCGGGAGGGCAGGAAGGCAGATTGCGGTGGTCCTTTTCTGTCCTCTTGGGAGAAAGACACCGGGACCTGCCGGGAGCGCCCGGTGTCCCATCCCCTTGCCGCACACCGAGACACACCTGCCCCTGCAACGCAGCCAGGCCCACTACTCACTCTCCCGCAGATTAGAGGTGCGGGATTAGCAAGGGGTTTTTCCAAGCTTCAGTGGAATCTGGAGACACGGAATGGGGACCTTCGCTGGGTCCCGACCTCTCCGTGGGGTCGTGTTCCAGAGCCGCGTTCCGCCTGCGACCCCCCAGTCTGGGACGCAGAGAGGGCATAACAGCTCATCTAGAAGGACCCAAAGAGACCGAAGTAAAAGACGACTGGGTACTGCCCAGCCTGAGAACTTAAAAGTCGAAAGGTGACCTGAGTTAAATCGAGCCAGAAATATTTCAACCTGCGGGCCGCGGGAGTCTGGGGCAGGGGGAGATTTTGGAAGGTACCGCGGGAGCACCTCCGACCTGCAACGCCATCTCCCTCGGCCTCCCGGCTTCGTTGCATGCTCAGATTCCCGATCCCTTCGGGCCACAGAACTCTCCACTGCGAAGCCACTGCACCATGTCCCTAGACAGAGCACCTGCTCTCCCCTCTCAAAACCTTCCAAACCGATCCTTGGTTCTCAAGAGACCTCTACGCACTCCTCTCTCACTTGCTCTCGGCCGCGCGGGCCCCGCAAAGCCCGGCCACTCGCCTCAGACCAGCTCCTTAGCCGTCTCGGATTCCGTTTACCTTTTCTTTTCCTTGTCAGCTGTCATTGTCGCTGTGGCCCTTTGAGACGCCGAGCACCTGGGCTCCCCGGCCGGTGGAGGCTGCAGCGGCTGCGTTTGCTGTGGCCCTCGCTCACTCCGAAGTCTGGACCGGTGTTAAAGGTCCTAAGCGCTCGCAGGCCCGCAGTCAGGTGGAAGTTTGCGGGCGGCTGGTTAGGTGCGGGTGAAGGGGGTGGAGAAAGGTGACAGGGAGGAACCTGCACCGGGAGGCGGGGTCAGGGAAAGGAGTGGGAGGAGGCTGTCAAATGCAAAACAGAGGGCAGCGAGAAGGGGACCGAAGTTCTTTTTTCCTCGAAAAGGAGTCACTTTCCTGGGTTTTCAAAAAGTAAAGAAGTGGATCCGACGACGGCAGTTGGGAGAGTCCGGGGCCGGGCGGGCACGGCGGCTGAGATGACCATACAGTCTCAGGACACTGCCGAGGATTGTACGGCCGGCTCAGGAGAGCTGGGCGGGAGGGCGGCGGACGCCGGAGCAGTGCTGCAGGCCGCTCCCGAATGTCTGGTTCCCTGGGCTGCCCGCCCACTTTAAAAACTCCGGCGGCCCACGCGGGGGAGCACCCCAGAAACAAATAAAAGAGATAATATTATGACTCTCCATTCCAATTCTTCTATTAATCTGGTCATTTAGAACCAATAGAGAGTGTCCCGGCCCGCCCCTCACCTAGCGCTCGGGTCTGCGGCGGCCCGCCTGCCCTGCCTTCTCCTTCTGCAGATGCAGAAGTTGTTTATGAGGTCCGAGGGGTAGCGGGTAGCGAGGTGGGACTCCGCGCCGGGGAGGGGCAGCTTATGTGGCTAAGCGACAGCAATAGTCGACTTCTGGGAGTGCTGCTCTGCTCTGGTGTCCTCACACCCCCGCATAACCTCGGGACAAGCGCCGACGGTCCCGCGCCCAGCCGCGCCCGGCAGAGCGGCTGCGGGGTGTCGCTCTCGCGCGTCCCTCGTCCCGCTGCGTGGTCCTACAGCCCGGTGGGGATAATTCCAAGGACCCCAGCAGCTGCGCTGCGGACCTGGCGATGCGCTTTTTTTCTGTAGAGCGCCCTGACTCTGCCTTTGGAAGGACTGGGAGACCGATCACCCTTGTCGGGTCTGGAGAAAACAGTGCCGTGAAACTGAGCTAGGGTAGCGCCTGTTCTTACCTACCCTCAACAGGCACGTCGGTTGCTTGCCGAGTTGTGCTGGGCGGTATACTGCTTTGGCTGGGATGCGGGCGAGTAGGATCTGCCACACCCTACTTCCAGCACCTGCCACCACCACCAGGGTTTGGGCCAGTTCAAAATTGAACAAGTCAGTCTGGCTTCCTAGTGTTTTCTTGGGATAAGAGTTGACAGCATGTCCTCCGAGCAAGAGATCTCAGGCCTGTGTCTCCAGGGTCCGATTGAAGCCCTAGGAACGCGAAAGCGACAAGTGTTAGGTTGGGGGAGATCAGAGATCTAAGGGGCAGGTAGGTAGAGCTCAAAGGATTTTCCAGCTGCGCTTTAAACCCTGCCTTTAATCCGCGTAGGCCTGGCTCCTCTGTCCTGCGCTCAGCTATTCTCACAAGAATCCCACCCCCTTCCATACTTCCATAGATTACCTTGATCCAGCATATCTCAGGAAGGGACCAGGGAGGCTCTTAAATCTTTGCAGTTCTGAGAAGGGCCCACAGGCTTCACAAGTGTGAACCGAAGAGAAAGCAAGGGCCATAAAACTGGTCTGCCCTGGGACCCCAAACCTTGCTGTACCTTTCCCCCTTAGCCTTATCACGTTTTATATTAATCTGCCTATAGAACTGGTTTACTTCACTTAGCTTTTGCTAAGTGAAGTAAACCAGTTACAATAAGACAATACTGTAAGATTCCACTTATATGAAGTATCTAAAGTAGTCATTCAGAAACAGAGTAGAAAGGTAGTTACCAGGGACTAAGGTTGGGGGGCAGGGCAGGCAGTGAGAATTAGTGTTTAATGGATATAGTTTGCTTTACACGATGGATATAGTGTTTAATGGATATAGTTTGCTTTCCAGAGATCTGTTACACAACAATGTGAGTATATTTAACTATTGAATGTACACTTAATGGTAAAGACGGTAGATTTAATGCTATGCATTTTTATCACAATTACAAAAATAATATCAAGAAAAAAGCAGAATTTCAAGATTATAGGTTTGTGTCACCACCAAAATGCAAAATAAACATGCATTTTCCCTTGCTCATGGTAGGAGGGACAGGGATGTCCTCCAGGGGGCTTTGGAAGGCACTGGAAAGCAGAATTAGGGAGAGGTGAAAAAACCTGCAGAGAACTGGGGAACCAGGCACCTTTTCTCATTTTCCTAGAGCCGCTGAACAAGGTGCATACAAACTTTGACAGCCAAGAGATTCTAACAAAAATTGCAAATCTCTCTAGGGAGCCATTTCTTGGAGCTGATAGATTTCAGAAATGGGGTGGTTTCGTACTGGACTTCTCCAGCCCGCCAATCCTAGTGGACAAATTTATTTATCCTAATGAGAAATTCAAATTGGTAAGACACGATTTTCCCTTAATCAGCAATGAGCTTACTCACCTCACTTGGGATTGAAGTGAGAGAAGAAACAGGAACTTTGACAGCTTCCAGGTATCCAAAGCCATGTACTGCCAGAGCAAGGAGCAACCGCTGAGTCCTTGCAAGTCACAAAGCAACACCTCTGAACCACAGAGAATATTTCAGCAGGGTTGGGCTTATGAAATTAGCTTCTTAGATCTTAAAAAAGAAGAAGAAAGGTAAAAGTTCACTAAAGAACGCATCAGCCATATTAATATAGCTCCTTCCCCATGGCCAGCTTGCCCATCTTTCTAATTGGGATTTTGCCCTCTAAGTGAAGGGTCCCTAAGCTAAGAGAAACAATTGGGCAGATTTTGTGGAAATCCTAGCGAGTAACTTTGAAGAATCTGGGATTTTGGCAGTGTCTAGAGATTCACCAAAAGCCTGTGTAATTTTACCAGCAGAACTGGACCCAGCCTTGCTTAGAGCAGAGCCGAGGAGCCCAATGACCTCTTAAGATTTCTTCCAGAATTCAGTTCAACAAATTTTGCAGGAAGGAGCTAAAAGTGTAAACCTGACAAAGGCTTGCGGCTAAAGTGTCCCATATTACTTTTTAAAGCCCATAGAGAACTAAAGGAGAAAAGCTTAAAAGATGATGGCAGGGAGAGATGGATCCCAGGATTTAGTGTCTCTAGAGACATTGATGTTTTGGCCACAGAGGGCAGCAGAGGGCACCACTAAGCAAAGCTCTCAGGCTGTTTGAAATGGGAGCAAACTGCCCATCTCCCAGCACATCTCTTTACCAGTCTCCCAACTCTACACTAGACTGCTTGATTTTAACAAAGGACAAGTCTCTAGCTTCCTCTCTCCTCTATAGAGCACTCCCTTAGGAAGATGGGATAGAGATAAGGAGTTAATTTACAAATTTTGCAGAGAGCAGGCACCTGGGATGGAGTGGGCAAGTGGAAGAAAGAGGGCCTCAGTAGTAACAGGTAGTGTGGTCCAGGATGTGGTTGGAAATCAGGCTGTAATGGGTGGGATCTAACAGCAGAAGAGGTCTTGGATGGCTGGGCTATTTCTTTAGTATTTTACAACTTTCAGTGCATTGAGGCCAGAGACCCCTGGGGTGCAAAAGCGGGCCCTCACTCTCGGGGTCATGCAAGTTCCTGTACTAGTCCTGGCACCACCACATATGTATCTTCAAGGTTATCTATCTGGCTCTGGTCTGCCCAGTTAGTTGGTTTGGGGCTGGGGAGAGCATGCAGTCTAGGGAGTGGAGGTGGAAGAAGGATAATCGGGCAGAGGTCATGGCTGCTTCTCTATTGAAATACTTTTACTGAGTCACCCCTTTCTTCACTCTTGCATGATACTCCCTCTGAACAAAACCAGCTCTTAAACTGTGACTTCCACAAATCCATCCTCACACTACCTGTCACTGAAGTCCAGGACAAAAAACCATACTCCCTGTGTTTGGCTTCAGGCCAAAGCTGTGGGATATTTCACACAGGTATATGCTATATCTACCATTAAATGTTGTGACTTTTTAACTCCACAAATCTAGATTTTTTCATCTTTAAAAAGAGCTCTGATTTTTATTGAGAAAAGAGTCAAGCTTTTTTTTTTTTTTTCCTACTTGAATTCGTAAGTATAAGTATACTGATAGGATCTAGCTTTAAAAAACCGCAGGTTCTTCTACCTCATATGTCTGGATTATTGATTTAAAGACTAAATGTCTTCCATTTCTAGGTCTAGGGATGGGATTTTTGCCCACCAAAGGTCTAGTATGTTTATTTTTCTGTCATTCAACTAATGATGAAGGAGTCATTGGTCTATGGCCACCATGCATGCTGCTTCAGGGAGAATGGAAGGCATCAATCTGCTGGAAGAGAAAGCTAGTGGTTCTCTTCTGTCCAGGAAGAGACGATCAAGTTGTGCATATCCTACATCTCCCAGATTATGACATATACATTTACCCACTTTTTAAGGCTTCTGAAATCAATAAACATCTTTTAATGTAGCAATGATTCGAAAACTATTTTTAATTGATATATACAATTTATGTTTTCTTAATTTTTTAATACAAAAATTGAGAGCAAAATCATATAGTCTAAACAATGGGTGTTGTAAGAATTTGGTGCTGGTAAGTTGGAGGGTAGAGAGAGTGAGTAAGAAAGCAGAAAAAGGTAGAATCCTAGCCATATCCACTGCTAAGATCCATCTGCCAGGCTTGTGGGTGTGATCTCTGGTGATAAAATAGCACATACGTGAGAGGAATGGCCAATAGGAAGGACATGCCAGCCCCACCTTAGAGAGAAAACGGCACAGCAGAAATGAAGGTGCTATTGTCACTAAAAATTTTGATGTTGGGCTCCAAACAGCACTACCCTAAAGCTTAGATAACTAAGAATGACGCAGAGTTGGGGGTCAGAGATACCCTTCTCACTCTTGTAGTGTGACTTTGGCCTGTAACAAGTGTTAAAATGGAACTTTTCTAGCTCATTTTCAACTGAGGTCCCAAGACGTTAGACTGCCCTTGGGGAAGGGGTGAGACCTTTGACAACATCACTTGGGGAAATATGTCCTTCATTCCTGAAGGGCGATCTGGGCAGCAATCACAAGATCTAGTGTAGTATACGATGTCTGCAGAACAGATGTGGAATCCGTAGGAGAAATGCCCACCTAGGAGTCTTAAGGGGATTCTTTCTATGTAGGCTTCAGAAAAAGGTGGCGATGCCACGGGAGGCAGAATCTGAGGGAAGATCACAAATGGCCAAGTGAAGGAGGTCCTTCTGGAACCATGAAGGGAATAGCCGAGGAACCCACTGAGACCCCAGAGAGGGAAACAGCAGCCATGGCTGCAGGAAATCAAAGAGAGATTACACCCATGCTAGTAAAAGCAAACAGACAAACAAACAAAAACAACCTTTCCTACTCCTTACTTTTCCTCTTCCTAGCACAGAGAGGACAAAGTAGGCTAGTAGGGAAATAGGAGCAGACGTACTAGGTGAG